TATATATATTAATTAATAATTCTTATTAAAATATATAATTTACGTTATATACATTCATATATTTCGTATTAAATATTTTTTCTCTAATGCTTTTCGTTTTGGACAAAGAGCAATTTTTTAAACTAAAGGTTAACGATTTATATATTCACCATCAGTTGAATAAAATGAAACACAAATAATTCAGTCGAGTTTACAACCGAGTTCGAAAATTTGTTTCGTCGTGGACGCGTTCGAAACACTATAGTCTTTGTAGAGTTCTCTCCGGAGGCGACGAACGCATGCACGACCGCAGAAAGCGGATTGTACCCGCGACTGCAAATATTTTCCGCGAAAAAGTTGTCGGTGAAAAGCGGACGAGGATTGCGGTTTCGTTGCAGTACGGACCAAGTTTTGCGATTCATCATACATGAACCATCTTGCTTCGATGCAGTTGCATCACACGCGGATAGCGCTTAATCAAACAATAACGCGTACCAATGCATACATGGGCGGTCGATGCGCGTATGCAGCTTCGCAGAGCTGGACCAGTCCGTGCATACAAGCGGCACAACGGCTTTGTTTCCTGTGTGCAGGGCGCGATACACACTGCGAATCTCGCTCGTTGTTATTTTATAAAGCGCGCCGATTATTACCCGATCTCGTCCATTCCGAGTTTCCGGAGTTTATTATTTCTGATCAACCAAGCCGTTGATTGCTTCTGATATGACGCTGTGGCTTAGACTTGTCTACAGTTGTTGAAATTTTTTATGGTACTTCTGTGCTATAAAAACTTACCGAGTAATTGCCAATATTGTTAAATAAAATCGAGACTGGCTTAGTGGTAATGCCGGTCCGATAATAATCTATTTCTATCTAATAATTGAAATTGCAATGTCAATTGCAATTTGAAATTGCATTTTAGAATAAATTACGACAAATCTAAATTAAAATATTAATACAGTGCAGTATTAAAAATATTTGATAACGATAACATGTCAATGTATATCACATTAAAATTATACATAAAAGTTTTGTAATATTATAATTCAACATGTTGCACACAGCAGAATCTTAAGAGAAATGTGTATAATCTTATTACTGCGTCTACAATTAAACCGTTGCGAGCCAATATCGGCCAATGTTAACATACTGCACCAGTAGTATTACCTTCGAAACACTACTCAACTGTGTACAGCATTGTCGCGTCTTAACAATGTTGTGTTAATAGCAACATTACCACAGAATGATATTACATTCCGGTCAAACTTAACTGGCGCAATGCTGATAAACAATACTGAAATGATTTGCAAAAAACTTACTTGATGCTAACAGTTCATAAATTTTCGGATAAGAAATTGCAATGCATTATAATTAATTGTAAGTTACAAATTTTTTGTCACAATATTTTAAAAATAAAATATATGACAGAAATAGGAAAAGAATATTTAAAATACAATTATAAAAAACATAGTTTCCATAAAAATAAATATAAAAAATTGTGCGAAATTTTTGATAAACTTGATAAAATATCGAATTATTTTAGATTCTATTTAATATTTTTTTTACTGCTAATATAAAATTATTACACTCTTTAAATGCGTCAGGTGCCATCCGATTATCATGTTTTATGAAAATGTAATGCATGGATAACGAGCTAACAGAAATGTAAATGATGATAAATTTAAAATTCAATTTGGAATACTCTGCGAAGAGGCTGCGGCGCAGGGCGTTTAAATTTCTCGTAGAAAATACTGACAATATTATATTTCGCGATAATACGTAATTATACACACGCGTCTGTTATATGACAGTTATCGCGTTGCACCTACGCTGACGTAGTAATGAGGAATAATATGTAAGGAAAGTTTCGAATATGTGTGTGTTTTCCAAACAATTTGCAACTTGTGCGTAATATATTGCCATTTCGCTGCAACGCGGCCTATATGTCACCGGAAAGTTGGGAAGCGTTTCGAAATAATCTATAATTATATACAACTTTGACATAGCTTTCCCTA